CCCCAAAACCCCAAAACCCCAAAACCCCATTAAGCCAATTTTTTTTTACGATTTTAAAATTAGATTATTAATTATTCAGTGTTTAATAAGCATTTCGATTTATTTAAATCAATCAAAGAAATCAATACCATCAATTATTTGCCTGAGAGTAATATTAATCTTCCTAAACATGTTTGTTACATCCATATAGTCTCTATCGAATTTCCTGGTGTCTACATAATTACCCAACTTATCCTTCATTTGGTAAAATGAAAAATTATTCTAATGTTTTATATCTTAGTCTTATTTTAACTCATCTTTTTAGCATTTTTTATCTAATTCTGGAGTTTGGATTGGATTAATCTAAACTGCTTTAAGAGTGATTAGCAGATAGATAAGGAAATCTAAAAAGAATTCCTATGAATCAAACTAGAGAAAATTAACTTTCATTTAACTCAGATCTTGTGTGAAAATTTAGTTATGATTCAAGAAATCTATAAACAAAAGCTGCAATTCATATTGTGAAAACATATCAAAATCAGCACCGTTATCATAGAGATTTTTTTTAGCCCAAGAACTAATAGTCCTGTAGGCTAATTTGAGCTTATAGCATTTATTTAAAACTTCTTTGAATTCATAATGCTAGCTAACAATGTAATCATCTTTTCCTTTGGTAAATATCAATTTCATATCATATTCATTCTCATACTCTGGATCAGAGCATCTGAGTGTTAGATATTTCCTATTGATTTAGGTTTTTTCACTAAAATCATCGCCTCTTGCTTTTATATAAGAATCTCTAAGCTTCAGCATTGGAATAATACTTTCTAAAAGTTTAGCTGGATCCTCAAAGAGTTCTGTACATACTGCTATATCTAATCTATACTCAGGATACAAAACATAAATAGTTCCTAAATCAAAAGAACCAATGATCTAGGCATTTACATTATTATGAAGTGGTTTGTTAAAAGATGCGTTTAGATATCTATAGCTCTGTTGAACTTTATCCTTAAGTTTGTCTAAAGCTTCCTCTACTTCGTCTGACATTCTGATAATAACTTTTTCTAGAAACTATTATGTAGCTTCATTATTTTTTATTTTTTTTATCAATTCTAAACTTTCCGCTTTAAGTACTTTTACTTCATCAAAGATATGAAGTGACTTTAAGTTATACAAAAATGCCTTAAGCTCTGGAAAGTTTCCTCTTAGTCTCTTAAAAACATTTGCACTCATGATCTTGATAAATAATTCATTTTAGGTGAGAATTTTCTCGTCTATATCCTTCAGAAACTGCAATGACTTTTATGCAAAGAGTCTAAATTAAAAAGTGTATACATCCTAAATCTCGTCCATAAGGTCAATATATATTTAGACCTTGGTGTCTTAATTAGTATTTTGAAGAATGTCCAAGATATGATGGGCTGGAATCCATTTTGCTTTAGCAATATATTCAATTTCATTTTACTTAAAGTTTTAAATATCTTTGATCTCTTCTTAAATTTCTGCTAATCTTTTCTCAACTTATTTTTCCTCGATCATTGCTTTATCTTAGAGATCAACATCATCTCCATATTTCTCTTAAAGTTCTAAATTCTTTTCAACCATTAACTCTTGCAGAGCTTACCAATTTTATGAACTGCTAAACTATTCAAAGACTAGTTTATCTACACAGGTATAGAGATAATTTAGCTGATCGATATTTTTTTAAATTAAGGATTTTGAGTATCTCTG